GACAGACACGAGCTGAAGCGGTACCATGATCAGCATGTACAGTTGGGGCCCTGAAGAAAGAACCCTTTTCGTTGTGGAGGGGCTCCGTGTTCCTTGATTGTTTCACAGCTTGCCTTAGGCTTTCCTTAGGTTTTCGATGGGGAATCGAACTTTAACTGATGGGAAAAAGGGGCCTCGTTCCTTCTTTAGCGTTCCTTAGGTCAACGCCCCCACTGTAGAGGGCCATGCCGTAAGCCCCGAACTTCACCGCCACCAGCGACAGGCCGAGTCGTCGGCGGCAGCGCTCAAGCCGGCACCAGTTGCGGGTCCAGCGCCGGGGCTCGGGCTAAAGGTGTGAGCCAGAGTGGCTCGAGGGGAGGAGGAGGAGGACGAGGAGGAGGAGAAGAAGGATGATGATGATGATGATGCTGATGATGATGTTGATGATGATGCTGATGATGATGATGATGCTGCTGCTGCTGATGATGATGATGATGATGATGATGATGATGACGAGGTGGAGGAGGAAGAAGAGGAGGAGGCATGCGAGGAGGGAGATGTTGAGGAGGAGGCGGAGGTGGAGGAGGCAGATGAGGAGGGGGAGGTGGAGGAGGAGGAGGAGGGGACCCAGTGTAAACCGAAGAGTCGTCGACGATGTTGGAATAAACCCTCCCATTACGCTCCCTCTTCATAGGCTCCTACAACGGTCCTTCTCCACTGAGGGAGCTGCCTCGTCGGAAGACAACCAATTGAAGATTCGAAAGCATGCCAAAACATGGTTCTCGGGATTCCAACGCCATGGGTCAGCCTGACTGTTGCGTCTCGACGAGCCTGAATCGTGTCAGAGCGCTGTTCCTGGAACTTCAACACCGCGAACCAACGTAACTGTTGCACCCGCATAACCCTGAACCTTTCCAAATCACCATTTCTGGTACGTTGATCAAGGGAACCCGTGAAATTCGTTTTTGAAGCACATGTGGGCGGCGCTTGGGCGAGAGCCACATTTTGAAAATGAGCCTCCCTCACTCCGTGACTCTTGTTCAAGTTTGGAAACGGAATGCACGCGGCGCTAAGGCGAGAGCCACATGTTAAAAACCACTCGCCCTCAATCCGTGAAGCTCTTCGTGGCAAAGTGTGGAACGAGTGTGTGCGGCGCTAAGGCGAGAGCCACATGTTGAAGCGGAACCGCCCTCAATCCGGGAAGCTCTTGCATTTTTACAACGAATGTGCGCGGCGCTAAGGCGGGAGCCACATTTTGAAATCCAGGCGCCCTCAATCCGTGAAGCTCTTGCAACGTTTCAAACCAACGGCGCTCAGGCGAGAACCACATTTTGAAACCATCCGCCCTCCATCCGTGAAGCTGTTTCCAATTTTTAAGCTTTGGGCCGTAAGCGGTGATGGAGTCTCAGGAGAAACACCCTGCCCCCCCAAAAAACTGGCTTCGGAATCTGACCAGGGGAAGTTCTGTAGAAGGGGAAAGGAAAGGATGATGATGATGATGATGATGATGATGATGATGATGATGTTGATGGTGATGGTGATGGTGATGGTGATGGTGATTATGATGATGATGCTGATGATGATGATGATGATGCTGATGATGATGATGATGATGATTATGATGATTATAATGATGCTGCTGCTGATGATGCTGCTGATGATGATGATGATGATGCTGCTGCTGCTGATGATGATGATGATGATGATGATGATGATGATGATGATGATGATGATGATTATGATGATGATGATGATGATGATGATGATGATGATGATGATGATGATGATGATGATGATGTGATGATGATGATGATGATGATGATGATGTGATGATGATGATGATGATGATGATGGAGGAGGAGGAGGAGGAGGAGGAGGAGGAGGAGGAGGAGGAGGAGGGAGGAGGAGGAGATGGAGGAGGAGGAGGGAGGGAGGAGGAGGAGGAGGCGGGGGGAGGGAGGCGGAGGGGGGGCGGAGGCGGAGGCGGGGGAGGAGGAGGAGGCGGAGGAGGAGGAGGAGGAGGAGAGGAGGAGGAGGAGGAGGAGGAGGAGGAGGAGGAGGAGGACGAGGCCCTACATACCGCCCTGCCACCTTGTACCTCCTCCGCCCTCTCTGCGTCCCGCCTCCACTTTCCTTCCCGGCCCTCCAGTGGCCCCGTGGCCTGCCAATCCTGTCCAAATCCTCGCCTCTCCTTCTCCATGCCCTCGTCCGCCCTCTTCGATGCCCTGGGGCAGGAGGCCCTTCTCCTACCTACCTGGGCAGGGTGTTCTTTCTCTGCCCCTCCGCCCTTTTTGGATCCCTCCTCGTCCTGGAGGTTGGAGGGCAGGAGGGGTGGGGCGGGGGAAGGAGGACAGGGAGGGAGGGAGGAGGGAGGGGAGGGGGTGATGCGGTGGGCGGGGCGGAGGGCGGCAGGGGGCTCGACCTGGGGAGCGGGGGGCGATAAGCGGCGGCGCTCGGTGCGCACGGGCCCCTGGCTCCGTGCTCTGAGGTGCCGCCCTTCTGCCACCCGGCGCACCACTGCCTGGGCTGCCTGAAGCTGAAGCGCCCGCGCCCCCGCCCCCCCCCCGCGCGCAGCCGGCCCTGTTCCGCCTTCTGCGGGGGCGCGCGTGACGTGTGGTCAGCCCCTTCCGGGCTCAGCCGACCGCCTCGCGGCGAGCGACTCCCATGCGGCGGCAGGTTGCTCTGAGTTGTTCGATAGGCGGGGGAGTGTGGATCGCGCGGGGCTGGAGGAGTGGGCTATCCTTCGCGCGGTGTGTGGGAGGGGGGTGGTTGGATCTCTTGGTGGGGTGGGTTCGGTGGGCGTGAGGGTGCCAGACCAGGCCGTCGGGCGGGGTGGCAGGGGGAGGGGCTCATCGAACAACCCGGAGTTAAGCGGGCGGGCGGGCTTCCGAGCAAGAGAACGGGCGGGCCCTGCCCGGTTGGTCGGTCGGGCAGGGCCCTGGAAGCGAGCGGGTCGGGGTCGCGCAGGCCCTGAGGCGCTTTTGGGAGCCACGCAGGCCCACTCCCGCAGACATATGCGATGTCTTGGCTTTGCCAGGACGCGTTCGCAGAAGTCCCGATCCCTTTTCGTGGGGCCGCCTGCTCATCCTAAGTCGTTTCTTGACGGCCCCCCGACCCGTCGAGGGCCCCCCGAGCCCGAAAACGACGAGAAGCCCCCGGCCTGCTTTTTTTCAAGACGCTGCACGTCTGGGCCCCGCTCCCCTCCCTCCGGCTGGCCCGGGTCTGGGGGCTGCTTCGTGGCCAGCCCGGGCGCGCGGCGTGGCCCAGGGACAGCGCCGACACGGGCCGGCGCGGCCCCGAGTGCCGCTTCCCCGAGGGCCGAGGGAAAGGCGAGTCTCGGCCGCTGCGTGCGTTGCGTGATGCGTATCCGACCCCGAACCGAACCTCCAGGTGGATTTCGGAGGTCGGCCCCCGCCCCCCATCCATTCATAAGATTGTGAAACATGTCGGATGCCTGGAACTGGGCACCAACACCAAGACAGGGCTGCCTATCCTATATTTCGGTGGTGGTGGTACTATTTCGGTCACCGTGGAAGCCAGAATATTACCACCATCACCGAGATAGGGATCCTCCTATTTCGGTGGAAGATCACCGCCGATATTGGTGTTGGTGTCAACCTCTAGGCCTGCGAAAATGGTCGAAAGGGGGGGTCAAGGACAGCGATGGGGGGCGATAGGCTCAGGGGAGGACGCACCGACTCTCCAAAACGCCAGCTCATCGCGGGAATATCGGCGCCGTGTGGCCGATTCCGATCGCGGTGGCCGCACATCGGGCCAAGGTTTCTGTCAAGGAGGGGCGTGGCTTTTCCCAGCCCCTCCCCCTGCTCTGCGAGGCAGGCGTGGCTCGTCATGGCCAGTGTGGCGGCAGAGAGTTGTCGCGCTTCGCGAAGCGCGGAGCGCGAAGTCCAGCGCCCTTGATAAGAGTGAGGGCGCGGCGGGGTCGCCGGCAGTCTGCGAGGCTCTGAAGAAGCTCGCCGCAGGCGCCGATTCTTTGACACATGCAGACGCCGAATCCCCGCCAAAGCAGTGTGGGTGGGTGGCGGGTGGGTCGCGGGGTGGGTCGCGGGGTGGGTCGCGGGCGGGTCGCGGGCGAGGACGACGACAACAACAATTATCATTTCAAGGCTGTTCGCTCTTATCTGCGTGCGTGCCATTCAACACGTATACCCCGAACCCTCGATACTCGCCATATTCGTCTTCGATCGTAACTCCCATGGGGGTGTATCTTTCTTGCCTGCAACGTGTATTTCATGCAGCCCCTACGGCAGGTGAAGAGAGGACGGATGGAAGAAAGGGGCGATGGGGAGGGAGGAGGATGGAGCACGAGAGAGAGAGAGAGAAAGTAGCATGAGGGGGGCTAGGAGCAGACAACACGGCAGAGCCAGACGGGCAGACCAGGTGGGTAGACACTAACAGGGGGGTCGGGAAGGCGGGCCCAGGCGGCCAGGTCGAACAGGCGGCGGGTTGATGAAGCGTGCGTCCTGCACGAATCGCGAGTCTGGAGCGATAGCGCGATTCCCAAGGAAATCGTGAGACAGACCAAAGCGAGAGCGTGATTCCTGAGTATCGAGGGCGCGGCGCGTGATTAAATTGCGAGGAAGTCTCACGCGGAAGCGCCGATTTCTACATACATTGTGAGGATCTCCCGCGCGAGAGCTCATTTGGGGAATACGTCGTGAAGAAGTATCAGGCGGGCACCATTGTTGTTGTATCTCGGGGGCCAGGGGCCCATTCTGAAACTCATGGTTTTCCCTGATTGCAGCAGGGCTCGATCCCGGGGAAGGGGCGCTTCAATTTACAAAAATATCATGTGCCCCGGAGGGGGGATCAACATGGGACTCATCCTGGATGTCCGCCAGTGGAAATTGTCTTACGTTTCTCTCCCTCATGTGGTGCGCCAGGTGTCTCTGCCTGATCAATAGTTATTCGTCAGTAGGGAAAGTTCAACGCAACAGTGACAGACCGCACCGCTGAACTCCGCTTCAGGCACCCGCCCAGGGACAGTGCATGGCCGTTCGGCCCCCTCGCTCTGAAAACCGCGTCGGAAACCCGGGGGCAACGCGTGCGCGCAGAAACCATATAGTAGTCGAGTAGGGGGTCGAGTAAATGATTACCCGGTGACGTACACAATCCTTTCTATACATCTGGCGATGATATTCAGGACCACTGAATGCTGACTGGCATTCTGAAGGACCCGCAGCGCGCAAGAAGAGCGCCCAGTAGTGATTTCAGAAGAGCGCAGCAAGAAAAGGAACGGCAATATACACAATGGAAGCACAGGGGCGTTTACAGAAACACGTATGACGTACCTCCGAGTGATCCACTTGGGACGTACCTCCGCTGGGCCTCCCATGAGCCCACGAAGGTGGCGACTGTTGCGCAGATCGCAAGCCCCCCAGGGGGCGGCGAGGTCCCGAGGTGATCCCACCTCCGTTGGGCCTCCCAGGAGCCCACGAAACGGGCGACAGTTGCACAGATCGCAAGCCCCCCATCGGGGCGGCGAGGTCTCGAGGTGATCTGGGCCTCCCAGGAGCCCACGCAAGTGGCGACAATTGCGCAGATCGCAAGCCCCCCAGGGGGCGGCGAGGTCCCGAGGTGATCCGCGTGGGACCCACCTCCGCTCGGCCTCCCAGGAGCCCACGAACGTGGCGACAGTTGCGCAGATCGCAAGCCCCCAGGGGGCGGTCCGCGTGGGACCCACCTCCGCTGGGCCTTCCAGGAGCCCACGAAGGTGGCGACAGTTGCGCAGATCGCAAACCCCCCAGGAGGCGGCGAGGTCCCGAGGTGACCCGCGTGGGAGCCACCCCCGGTGGGCCTCCCAGGAGCCCACGAAAGTGGCGACCGCTGCGCAGATCGCAAGCCCCCCCGGGGGGCGGCGAGGTCCCGAAGTGATCCACGCGGGACCCACCTCTGCTGGGCCTCCCAGGAGCCCACGAAAGTGTCGACAGTTGCGCAGATCGCAAGCCCCCCAAAGGGCGGCGAGTTCCGAGGTGATCCGCGTGGGGCCCACCTCCGCTGGGCTTCCCAGGAGCCCACGACAGTGGCGCCAATTGCGCAGATCGCAAGCCCCCCAGGGCGCGGCGAGGTCCCGAGGTGATCCGCGTGGGACCCACCCCCGCTGGGCCTCCCAAGAGCTCACGAAAGTGGCGACAATTGCGCTGATCGCAGACCCCCAGGAGGGCGGCGAGGTCCCGAGGTGATCCGCGTGGGACCCACCTCCGCTGGGCCTCCCACGAGCCCACGAAAGTGGCGACAATTGCGCTGATCGCAAGACCCCCCCAAGGGCGGCGAGGTGTCGAGGTGATCCGCGTGGGACCCACCTCCGCTGGGCCTCCAAAGAGCCCACGAAAATGGCGACAGTTGCGCAGATCGCAAGCCCCCCATGGGGCGGCGAGGTCCCGAGGTGATCGGCGCGGGACCCACCTCTGCTGGGCCTCCCAGGAGCCCACGAAAGTGTCGACAGTTGCGCAGATCGCAAGCCCCCCAGGGGGCGGCGAGGTTCTGAGGTGATCCACGTGGGACCCACCTCCGCTGGGCTTCCCAGGAGCCCACGAAAGTGGCGACAGTTGCGCAGATCGCAAGCCCCCCAGGGGGCGGCGAGGTTCCGAGGTGATCGGCGTGGGACCCACCTCCGCTGGGCCTCCCAGGAGCCCACGAAAGTGGCGACACTTGCACAGATCGCAAGCCCCCATGGGGGCGGCGAGGTTCCGAGGTGATCCACGTGGGACCCACCTCCGCTGGGCCTCCCAAGAGCCCACGAAAGTGTCGACAGTTGCGCAGATCGCAAGCCCCCCATGGGGCGGCGAGGTCCCGAGGTGATCCGCGTGGCACCTCCGCTGGGCCTCCCAGGAGCCAACGAAAGTGGCGACAGTTGCGCAGATCGCAAGCCCCCATGGGGGCGGCGAGGTCCCGAGGTGATCCGCGTGGGGCCCACCTCGTCGGGGCTTCCCAGGAGCCCACGAAAGTGGCGACAGTTGCGCAGATCGCAAGCCCCCCAGGGCGCGGCGAGGTCCCGAGGTGATCCGCGTGGGATCCACCCCCGCTGGGCCTCCCAGGAGCCCACGAAGGTGGCGACAGTTGCGCAGATCGCAAACCTCCCAGAGGGCGGCGAGGTCCCGAGGTGATCCGCTTGGGACCCACGACCACAGGAGACAGGAGAGAAGGACGAGGGGAGGAGAGGGGGGGAGGAGAAGGGAGGACGGGGCGACCACACTGCTCTAGTCAAAACGAGTACCCAACACAGGAGGGTTGGGAATTATTTACACCAACATTTATTTTCTCGTTGAGCCGACGAGAAAATACGTAACATGTTCCGTATTTTCGACGGAAAATCAATTTTGGGGCACATCTATGTTGCAGTCGATCCCTTACTTGAAGTATGTGCTCGCTGGCGGGCGTATTCTGGTCATGCCGCGCGGGTGACGATATGCCATAAGATGTTTGTACCGCGTGCTCGTCTCGGACGTGTGCCTTGGCGCGTAGTGCTGGTGTGCCATTCGGTGTATCGTGCAGGGCCTGGCGCGAGAGGTCGACGGCCGGACGGGGCGTCACGACAGGCGGAGGGCACTTCTCTGGGTTTGTCCATGCTGCGAGGGAGTGCCAAGACCTCTCGTCTGCCTCTCCCGGATCTCGGCCCAGGTGCGAGGGTTCGACGCCCAATCGGGGCGACGTGACCAGCAGAGGACCTGTCCAGGATCTTGGCCTGATCATAGTGCTTTTGTGCTGAAGGCGTGATGGCTGGTTTTCTGGACATGCGAGATGCTGTGTCAGTCGTGCAGCGCGGCCTTCGAGCATTCCGCCGGAGAGTCCCCTCGCCTCTCTCGGTCCGCCCGTGCCAGGCAGGGGGCCGTCATAGTGCTAGTTGGCGACCTCATCTATGGCATCTGCTTAGTCGCCCTGCACGGCGTCCTGCTGGGGTCCCCGCCCCTGCGTTGCACGTGCATGGCGCAATGCGGTAGCAGTTGAAGAGTCCTGGTTTCCGACTGGATCCGTCCATGCGCATTTGATGTCCTAGTGTCCTAGTGATTGTGTGCAGAGCGGGTGGGTGGGGGTGGGTCACATTGCGGCGTGATTGTCGAAAAGACGGGCATCGTCCCCAGACAGTACTCGCACCATTGAGGATTTTCTTTGTCGCGGAAGGACATGGCCACGTGTTATGGAACTTCGCGTTCTGGCCCTGGCGCTTTCTTGTTAGTGCTTGATGGCTGGTGCTGCATGATGGGCCATGTGCTGCGATTCGCGTTCCAGCCCTTTGACGCCCCATGAACCTTTGTTCGTGTGGCGGTCCATGGTCGGCTGTTTGTTCCGATCTCGCGTGATCGCCCTGGTCTTTCAATGGTTTTTGCTCTGTGGCACGTGCTGTATGTTGGGCCGTTTTCGGTCCATGGCAGGTGCTCTATGATGGGCCGTCAGCTGCGCTTTCGTGTTCTTACGCTGACGATTTACGGGTGGTGCTATTGTCAGTGCTCTGTGGTGGGCTGTTTGTTGAGCTGTCGCATTTGTGCCCAGGTGTTACATGGCTTGTGTTTTTTGGTTTGGAGCTGTGTTCTATGGCTGGTGGCTCTGTGATGGGCCGTTTGCTGAGATTTTTCGTTCCTGTCCTCGCGCTCACGATTTGTGCTCTGTGTTTGGGTTTCGATGGTGGGCTGTTTGGTGCGATTCCTCGTAATCGCCCTGGTGCTTTCTGGTAGGTTCTCCATGATGAACCGTTGGCCGCGATTTCTCCTTCTTGTCCTGTTGATGTATTGGTTGTGCTCTATTTTTGATGTTCAACTCAGTGGCGCTTGCTTCGATGTGACGTTCTTGTCGTCCAGCTCTAGGTTTGGTGCATGATGGTCAGGGGTCGTGCTGTATCGCTGATGCTATATGAGGAGCAGTTTGCTGCGATTTTGCGTTATCGCTCTGGTGCTCCTTGGCTGGTGCTCTAGAAGACCGTTGCTGGGGTTCCTCGCTTTTGTCCTGGTGCTTTATGGGTGATGCTCTGTGGCCGGTGCTGTTGCTCTGTGCTTGTCTCTATGAACGCCGTTTGCTGCAATATCTCGTTCTTGCCCTGGTGCTCCTTGGGCGGTGCTCTGTGGCTGGTGTTGTTGCGCTGTGCGCGGGTCTATGGTACGCCTTCGGCTGCGAATCCTCGTTCTTGCCCTGGTGCTCCGTGGGTTGTACTGTACGGATGATGCTCGATGATATGCTGTGTGCTCGAAGAGTATCGGGGAACATCGATGGGGGACCCCACATCGCAGGTCGCCCGCGAGGCTCGGCGAGCCCGAGGTGAGGGAGCGGCCCGTCCACAGCCTGGAGGTCGAAGTCGGCGAGCGGAGGCGGTCGCCGGGGACCTCCGCCGCTGGTGCCGCCGTCGCCGCCGCCGCCGTCGCCGTCGCCGTCGCCATTACCTCTACCGTGGCAGTGGACATCGTCATGGTCGCGTCCGTGGCCGTCGCCGCCGCCGCCCTTGCGGTCGCCGTCGCCGTAACCATGGCCTCTGCCGTGGCAGTGGACATTGCCGTAGCCCTCGCCGTCGCCGTCGTCGCCGTCGTCGTCGCCGTCATTGTTTATTATTTTCCAGAATAATTTGTCAAGAGGCTTGTGCCATTCCGCCGATTCCAGAAGAGGAGATGTGCGGCTTCCGACGTCGTATGCGCTGTTTGACACTTCCCGTCGTGTTGCTTGCGTGTGCTTATTGAGGATTCGTTCTGCTCTTCCTCCGCGTCTGTTGCGGGGCTTTTCAGGTGCTTCTTGTAGGCCTAGCGGCTCGCCTTTTGGAGCTTTTTCAAAGCTCCCGGGGGCTTGTTGGAGCTCCCTGAGGGCCCTTTGGAGGCCTTTTGGGGGCATGTTGGGGGTCGTTGGGGCAATCTTTTGGTGGGGTGCTCTCATGGTCTCTGCGGGTTCCCCCTGTTTGGCTTCTCGTCAGTTTTTTCCAACCATCCTGTGGTGTTGGGTCCTCGTTTTGAAGAGACAGCACCCTTCGTCCCTCCCTCCCGTCCTCTCACCTCCTCCTCCCGCTACGCCCTCCTCCCATCCCTGCTTCTGCACTCCGCACGCCGCATGTCTTTATCGCCATCATCATCATCATCATCATCATCATCATCATCATCATCATCATCATCATCATCAACAACAACATCATCACCATCATCATTATTGTTATCATTATCATCAGCATCATCATCACCAACACCATTATCACCATCGTCGTCGTCGTCGTCGTCATCATCAGCATGATCATCATCAGCATCAACAGCGTCATCGCCATTGCCTTCGTCATTCTTATCATCATCTTATCATCATTATTATTATCATCATTCGCATACTCATCATCGTCATTGTTACCGTCACTATCAGCATAATCATCCTTATCATCATCATTCGCATCATCAGCATCATCATGACCACCTGCATCATCACCACCCTCGTCATCGTCAGCATCATAATCTTCATTATCACCGTCGCCCTCATCATCAGCATCATCACCATCATCACCATCATCATGATCATCATCATCATCATCATCATCAGCATCGTCATCATCATCATCATCATCATCATCATCATCATCATCATCATCATCATCATCATCATCATCATCATCATCATCATCCTAGGAGCTCCACCAACGGCTCCAGTGGCTGCGCTCGCATGCGCCCGCCGCACTTCGGCACACCTCTCACACGTTTCGTGGTTATACAGGGAGATCCACCGACGGCCCCAGTGGCTGCGCTCGCATGCGCCCGCCGCACCATTTCGGCACACTCCTCACACATTTCGTGGCCCCATAGGTGGCTCCACCGAAGGCCCCAGTGGCTGCGTTTCGCATTCGGCCGTCGCATTATCCTCCCTCTCCTCCTCCTCCTCCTCCTCCTCCTCCTCCTCCTCCTCCTCCTCCTCCTCCTCCTCCTCCTCCTGGGCTTATGTACGAGCTTTGCTGCAATTCGCCTGCATAGGAGTGTGTGTTGTGCTGGTCGCTTCATTTTTTGGAATATCGTACGCAAGACTTAGTGCAGTCTCGCTTTCCCACGCGCCGTCGCTAGGCGCATGGCTTACTGACTGACTGACTAACTCACACGTTTCGTGGCCCCATATGGGGCTCCACCGAAGGCCCCAGTGGCTGCGTTCGCATGCGCCCGCTGCACCAATTTCGGCACACCCCTCACTCGTTTCGTGTGCCCCAGTGGCTGCGTGTGCATGTGCCCGCCGCACCCATTTCGGCACGCTCCTCACACGTTTCGTGGCACCATAGGTGGCTCCACCGAAGGCACCAGTGGCTGCGTGCGCATGGGCCCGCCGCACCCATTTCGGCACGCCCCTCACACGTTTCGTGGCCCCATAGGTGGCTCCGCCGAAGGCCCCAGTTGCTGCGTCAGCATGCGGCCGCCGCATTCATACCTGTACAACCCTCACACGCTTCGTGGCCCCATAGGGAGCTCCACCGAAGGCCCCAATTGCTGTATTCGCATGCGCCCGCCGCACCCATTTCGGCACACTCCTCACACGTTTCGTTGCCCCCATAGAAACCTCAACCGAAGGCCTCAGTGGCTACGCTCGCATGCGCCCGGCGCATTTCGGCACACCCCTCATACGTTTCGTGGCCCCACAGGGAGATCCAGCGACGGCCCCAGTTGCTGCGTTCGCATGCGTTCGCCCCACCCATTTTCGGCACACCACTCACACATTTCGTGGCCCCATTGGGAGCGTCACCGAAGGCTCCAGTGGCGGTGTTCGCATGCGCTCGCCCCGCTCATGTCGGTACATCGCTCACATGCTTCGTGGCTTCATGGGGAGCTCCACCGATAACGATGCGCACAACTGCGTTACTCACATCTGCATATGGTTGGGTCACTCGTGAGGCTAATTTTCCCAGCCTGCACCTGTTGGGTTCTCGTTTAGTAGAGCAAAGCTGTCTCCACCTTTCTTCTCCTCCCCTCCTCTTCCTCTCTCCTCCTGCCTCGTGCCTTCTCGTGCCTCCTGCCTTGCCGTCCTGTTTTGGGGCTCGCTGCGGGCCTGCGATGTGCGAACATGTGGCCACTGTCGGGTGCCGTTTGACGGGGGGGCATACTAGTGGGCGTTGGGCGCTGATTCAGAGTGGACCTCGCCATCCCTGGGGGGCTGCGGACTGCGACAATGTCTCCGCTTTCCAGGGCTGCTGGGAGGTGGGCGGGGAGCATGGTGGGTACCAGGCGCAGATTTAGACTGGACTTCGCCATCCCTGGGTCCCTGGGAGGCTTTGCCACTTTCGAAGGCTGCTGCTGCTGTGTGTGTGTGTGGGCAAAACAGTGGATGCCAGGCGCAAATTTAGAGTGGGCCCCGCCATCGCTGGGGGGCTGCGAACTGCGAAGCGGTCGCCACTTTCGGGGGCTGCTGGGAGGGGCCGAACAGTTGGTGCCAGGCGCAGGTTCAGATTGGACCTCGCCATCCCTGGGGGTGGGAGGGGGGGGGCTGCGAACTTCGGAACTGTCAACGCTTTCGATGGGCTGGTGTGTGTGTGTGTGTGTGTGTGCGGGTGTGGGATGGTTTGTCTTAGGCCCAGATTCAGACTGGACCTCGCCATCCCTTGGGTCTGCGATGTGCGAAAATATTGCCACTATTGTGTGTGTGTGTGTGGTGTGGTGTGGTGTGGTGTGGTGTGGTGTGGTGTGGTGTGGTGTGGTGTGGTGTGGTGTGGTGTGGTGTGGTGTGGTGTGGTGTGGTGTGGTGTGGTGTGGTGTGGTGTGTGTGTGTGTGTTTGTGTTGGTGGTGGTGGTGGTGGTGGTGGTGGTGGTGGTGGTGGTGGTGGTGGTGGTGGTGGTGGTGGTGGTGGTGGTGGTGGTGGTGTGTGTGTGTGTGTGTGTGTCATGCACTGCATCTGGGGTGCGCATCCTTACCTGGGGCTGCAGTTTGCATCCACGGTGGGCTTCAGCTGTATGTCAGCTTGATCGCCGGCATCTATCGTTGGCGTAGCCCCTGCTTTGCTTGTCCTCCTTTTCACTTTGTCGCCTTTGGTCGGAGTGGTGCGACCTTGAGGTGACGCGTACAGTCTCTATTGAGCCTAGGTGGTTGTCTAGTTGTTTGTTCTGCATCCACCTAATCATGGCAGCTCTTCGGGGCTTTAGCTGCGGTGGGGTTGCTGTTTTAACGTTGGTGTTTGCATTGCACGTTGGCCACGCGCGCGCCTGTCCACCACGCATGGATTTGCTCGCGCTCTCGGCCACCCATGTGCGCCGCCGCGTGAAGCGGTTGCTGCACGCGGTCGCCCGCGTTCAGCTTTGTTTTTTATTACCCAAGGCTATGTCAGCCTCGGCCGCGTGATCATCTTTATCACGCTGACTTCTTGCCTTCTGTTGTACGGCGCTCTTGTCCTGCTTGTTGCAAGGCCAGTGGCGTCGCCTTGCCGTGCAGCTCCTTGCGTCAATTCTTTTTGTCGCCTCTTGAGGCTCTTATTCTCCAAATAGGGTTGGCCTTTAGGAGTCCTAGCTCAAACCCTACTAATTGGTCCGTTGCTTCCTCTCCTAATTCTTATGTCCCCCTAATTCTTATGGCTATGCCTATGCCTATGCCTGTGCCTGCCCCCAAACTCCTATGCCTGCGCCTATGCCTATGCCTGCTTGCTTGCTTGCTTGCTTGCTGACGCGCTTGCACGCTTGCTTGCTTGCTTGATTTCGTGCTTGCTTGCTTGCTTGCTTGCCTGCACGCTTGCTTGCTTGCTTGCTTGCTGAGTTGCGGATTCCAAGCATGATCGATTCCTCTGACAGGAAGGGTCCGGTTCGGTTCGGTTCGGTTAGGTTCCGAAGTGGATCTGGTTCGGTTCGGTTCGGCGTCGGAATTTTCCTGTTCGGTTCGGTTCGGTTCGTCGTTGTCAGGGGGGCCGTCCGGTTCGGCCCGGTTCGCCACGCGTTTCGCTTCGGTTCCGCCCGGTTCGCTGCGGAGGAGGCGAGGGAGGAACAGGACAAGGAGGAGCAGGACAAGGATTGGATTGGGGGAGGAGCCAGGGGAGGGTACCAGGGGGGGTGCTGGGGGGGGGTGCCGGGGGTGGGTGCCGGGGGGGGGGGGGGGGTGCCGGGGGGGGGGGTGCCTGGGGGGGGTGCTGGGGTGGGTGCCGGGGGGGGGTGCCAGGGGGGCGTGCCCGGGGGGGTGCCGGGAGGGGATGCCAGGGGGATTGCCGGGGGGGGGTGCCGGGGGGGGAGCAGGAGGATGAGGAGGAGAAGGATGAGGAGGACGACGTGCAGGAGGGAGAGGAAAAGCACGAGAAGGAGAAGGAAAGACGAGGAGAAGGAGGAGGAAGGACGAGGAGCAGGAGGAGGAAGAGGAGCAAGAAGGGATGGCGACGAGGACGACGGCGACGACGAGGATGATGGGGACGATGACGACGAGAAGAAGGAAAAGGAAGGGGAGGAGAAGAAGGAAGAGGCGGAGAGGTGGAGGAGCAGGAGGAGGATGAGGAGGAAGAGGTTGAGTAGGAGCGCAGTGGTGGCGGCGACGCTCCCAGAGAAGCGTCGGAACGACGAGAACTCAATTACAGCACAGTTTGCATTTTGTGTTCCGTGTGTCTTTGCATCATGCATTGGATTGAAAGGATTGAAAGGAAGAGCAGGATAAGGAGGAGGAGATGGAGGAGGAAGAGGGAGACGACGATGACGACATAGATGACGAAAACGATCCTTTGGGCCACTTGGCTCGTCCCTGGGATCCTTGCGACCTTGCTGGCCGACGTGACCTGGTCTGGAAACTTTGTCGGGCCGTCTATCTTCGTCACTACCGCCGCCGTTAGCGCCAATACCGTAACAAGTTTGGCTCAACTAGTTGGTTTTGGCTCAACTTGGTGGGTTTGCTCCCTTCGCCGCAGAAGCAGATGCCAACGTTTCGATGCTTAGGGGTTCTGGGCGTTGCGCGTCTGTTTGCGGCCAGACACTCTGTGGCGCTGCAGGAAGTTAGCGGGCGTCGCGCCCAGGCGGCCTATTACAACAAACTGGGTGACCACAGTTTGTTGTACGATGTGTCCGTTCAATAGCGTGCTATGAAGCAGCAGGGCGACGCCTCCAGATAGCAGCAGCGTTGCTGCTCACGAATTGCGAAATAAACGAGGAGTACACCGACCCACAGACTGCTCTTTGCCTTCGTAGCATCGACAAAGTAAGGGCGAAGTTATTTGAAAGGCGGATGGCAGCCGCAGTGTGTGCTACGATAAATGGCCGCTCTTATTTAAAATTGTTGAAACAACTTGTCGGTAAGGGTTGGGCGGGCGCGCAGTTTTGGGAAACCGCTCATGGTTTAGCAAGCGCAAGTGACCCTGAACTGTCGTCCACTGGCGCTTTCAATGGTAGGCGTTCAGTTTGAAAAACAAGCGTGGGTTAGCCACCGAACGTTTGATGCGAATCAGGGACACGCTGAATCAGGACATCAATTTCGATAGCGCATCACGCCTGCAAGTGTCACATGACCTGGTGAAAGTGCGTGGCAAATTCCTAGGCAGGAACGCTTTTTCTTTGTTGGAACATTCTTATACAAACGGGCGGTGCCGCCCAGGGTGGTGCTCGCAGCGCGGGGCGCTCATGGGCCCGGGCGCTCCGGCAGGCTTCAACGTCATGAACGGGATGTGGGGGCAGAACGGGGCGGGGGGCTCCCTGCTCCGGGATGTGCTGCGGCAGTGGGGCGACTCTCGCGCCAGCATGGAAGAGCTGCGCCGTCTTTCCCAGGATGACTTAAAGTCTCTCCGCGCGTTGGCGAGGAAGTCGCGCAGCGACGAGCGAGCCTTGGCAGGGGAGCTGTGCGAAGCCGTGGAGCACATTCTCGGTGTGTCTGATGCGGTTTTGTAGCCTTTGTATTGCAAGATTGCAAAGGTCGTCACGTTCCATCACAATCATCACAGGCGGTGCTTGCGCTCGGACGAGCTGCGCGGCGACCTGGGCAACGCGGCCGACAGCGAGGGCGAGGGGTGCGACCGCGAGAGCGACAGCGGCGACTGATCTCCGCCAGGCAAATGGCGACCAGGCGACCCACCAGGAAACATCTAAGACGCAAGCTTTTGCGCGCTACAGAAATCTGTCGGGGTTGCTAGAACCAGGTTCGGGGCGAGAGCTTCTGAATTTCGATCCCGGGGGAACTCCAGCGATTCGGCCCGCGGGCACGCGACAAAAACGCTCCTGCCCACTAAGGCTTTTCCAGGGCCAGAAACCTGGTAGTGGGCAAGAGCTTTTCGGGGTTCGGTTTTTGCACGCAGCCATGTGGCTCGTGTCATCCCGCCGAACCCTCGGAAGACGCGGTTGCTCGCGACAATCTAAGAAGTTATCTGGCAGCGGCGACCAAGCGGCGCCGCCGCAGAAAGCTGATGCCGACCCCGGAGAGAATCCAGCGATTCGGTCCGAAAGCGCGAAAATACACTCTTGCCCACTAAGGGTTTTTTAGGGCCAGAAGCCTGGTGGTGGGCAAGAGCTTTTCGGCTGATTCTTTTTAAAGCGCATCCAAATAGCTTGCGCCATCCTGCTGATATTTCAGAAGGTGGTGCTTCCGACGATCGTGGTGTCATCTAGCGTCCCAGGGGCTTTTTCAGGGGTTCAGACGGGGCTCGCTGGGCGCCTCTAAGAAGTTTCTCGGGGGGCTCTCGGGGGCTTCTCTGGGGCTGTCTTGAGGCCATCTTCAGATCGCCATCGTTGCCGTTAGCGACAAGCGTCGCATGGCGCATATCTGTATCATCGGTGCTAACGCGATCGCAACCGTTCTGGCTTCGAGGCAGAGTGGCGCCGGGGCGCGCTCGGTGCGCCCTTCGGACAGGGGAAGCGCCCGTGGCGGGCGCGGCCAGTTAGCTCGCTCCAAGAGGTCGTCTTGGGGCGAGCGTGAACGTGGGCGGAGCCGCAGCCCGCGGCCGAGCCCGCGTGCGACCCCTGCGCCTTCTCCAGGCGCGGAGATCTCCCCGGGCAAGTACAAGGAGAGCATCTTCTGGAAGTTCGGCCGCAGTTCGAGCGCCCTCGCGGACCGCTTCACTGCCGTGGTCGCGACGTGGACATGAGCGACGAGGAGATGTCGGTGAACGACGAGGTCTCGAAGATTCACGCTGCCGCGCAGAAGCCGGTGGCACGGGACAACGATCGCCTCGGGAAAAAGTGCGACTAGCTATGCGTCGTGAAGACCATTGTTGATGAGATAGAGCGGGGCGGCGCCCGCGTCCACGAGCTTCCTCCTCCGCGCGTTCATGGCCGTCTTCGGGGGGCCGGGGAGCCCGTGGCGCGCGCGTGACGGGCAGGCGTGCCGGTGCCGCGACGGAGCTCGGAAGCGCGCCGCCGCGATGAACGTTCAGCAGGCGCTGCGCGTGGAGAAGGCAGTGGACCAGGCGGACGCGATCCCGCTCCGCATGGGCAAGGACAAGAACGTGAGGCGACCGTCGTGGGACGAGGGGTTGCTGCTTGACTGCGCGAGCCCGGCCGCAGCGGCCCAGGTCGATGGGGGTGACGACCCAGATGAGAGCTTCTCCATCGCGCGCAAGATGCCCCGCGAAACGGTGACGAGGTTTTGACTATTGGGAACGACGACATTCTGATGACCCTCTGCAAGTGGTGCGATCGGCAGAAGCGGGCGGAGCCCCGTCCAGCGTTCAAGGGCGCGTGCCTGAAGATCGAGCCTGGCAAGGCAGCTGTGGAGATGAAAAAGAGCCCCGAGGTCAACTGCTACGCGTGCGTGTACTTATCCATCAAGTTCAAGCCCCCCGCGGCAGACGCGGAAAGGTACGACCTCATGATGGCCGCCCTCTACGGCGACGACGCGGGGTCCAAGGATATCGAGGGCAATGGCGAGGCCTTGGCGCCGATGCGCCAGTGCGCCAGCGGCAGCCGCCTCGCGTGCGAGTTCGAAGAGGAAAAGGTTAGGCGCCAACAGTACAATCGCCTCGCCGATTCAGATATTCTGGCATTCAGATATTCAGGTCCGGGTATCTCCGAGGTACTCAAGTATTTAGATCGGTGGTTTGCCCCGCGGCCGCGGGATCTAAAAATCTAAATATCTAAATATGTGAACCGGCGAGGCTGTGTTTTCTCTATGCGTAGGTATTTAGATCTTTTGTTCGCCCCGCGACCACAGGGTCTCATATCTTAATATCTAAATATCTAAATCGGCGAGGCCTTGGTTTTAGGTATTCTGGTATTTCGATATTTAAATCGGTGTTTCCCCCCGCGGCCGCAGGATCTAAAGTATCTAAATTTCTAAGTCTGCGAGGCAGTGGTTTTATGTATTCAGGTACTTGGATGTTTAGATCGGCGGTCCGCCCCGCGGCCGCAGGATCTAAATATTTGAATATCAAAATATCTAAATCGGCGAGGCTGCGGTTTTCAGGTATTTAAATATTTTGATATTTAGATCGGCGGGCCGCATGCGGGGACCGCACCCATTTTGGCACACCCCTCATTCGGTTCGTGGCCCCATAGGGAGCTCCACCGAAGGCCCCAGTGGCACAGGCCGCATGCGAGGACCGCGCCCATTTTGGCACACCTTTCACACGGTTCGCGGCCCCACAGGGAGCTCCACCGAAGGCCCCAGTGGCACAGGCCGCACGCGGGGACCGCTCTCATTTTGGCACACCCCTCACACTGTTCGTGGCCCCGCAGGGAGCTCCACCGAAGGCCCCAGTGGCACAGGCCGCATGCGGGGACCTCGCTCATTTTGGCACACCGTTCACACGGTTTGTGGGCCCACAGGGAGCTCCACCGAAGGCCCCAGTTGCGCAGGCCGCATGCGGGGACCGCGCTCATTTTGGCACACCCCTCACACGGTTCGTGGCCCCACAGGGAACTCCACCGAAGGCCCCAATGGCACAGGCCGCATGCGGGGACCGTGTTCATTATGGCACACCACTCACACGGTTCGTGGCCCCACAGGGAACTCCACCGAAGGCCCCTGTGGCACAAACCGCATGTGGGGACCGTGTTCATTTTGGCACACCACTCACACGGTTCGTGGCCCCACAGGGAACTCCACCGAAGGCCCCAGCGGCACAGGCCGCATGCGGGGGCCGCACCCACTTGGCACGCGCCTCACACGGTTCGTGGCCCCACAGGGGAACTCCACCGAAGGCCCCAGTGGCACAGGCCGCATGCGGGGACCGCTCTCATTTTGGCACACCCCTCACACGGTTCGCGGCCCCACAGGGAACTCCACCGAAGGCCCCAGTGGCACAGGCCGCACGCGGGGACCGCTCTCATTTTGGTACACCCCTCACACTGTTCGTGGCCCCGCAGGGAACTCCACCGAAGGCCCCAGTGGCACAGGCCGCATGCGGGGACCGCACTCATTTTCGCACACCGCTCACACGGTTCGTGGCCCCACAGGGAGCTCCACCGAAGGCCCCACTGGCACAGGCCGCATGCGGGAACCGCTCTCATTTTGGCACACCCCTCACACGGTTCGTGGCCCCAAAGGGAGCTCCACCGAAGGCCCTAGCGGCACAGGCCGCATGCGGGGACTGCTACCCATTCTGGCACACCCTTTACGCGGTTCGTGGCCCCACAGGGAGCTTCACCGAAGGCGGTACCCACAATGCAGTAATCGCAGCTGCATATGGTTGGGTCCTTCGTCAGGCGAATTTAGAGCGAATGTGCGCTGCGCCAAGGCGAGAGCGGCATTGTGAAAACCACCCGCCCTCCATCTGTGAAGCTGTTGCTAATGGTAGAGCTTCAGAGTAATTATCCCAGCGCGACCCTACCTAGGAGTGGAACCTCTAGGGAAGCAACATTAGTTGGTGCCTTGGAGTGCACCGCCTGATGTCTCCCGGCCGGTGCTATGTGCGAAACCTTTGTGAATCTTAGGCTCAAGCTGCCCCACTAAGGGCTCAATATGGCCCACAGACGGACAACATGCACTGAACATGCGTGCGCACACACACACACATATATATATATATAAGTGCATATATATATATATATATATATATCTATATATGTGTGTATATATATAACAACAGCAATAGTGGATGCTGTGCTGCGCTATGCTATTCTCTGCTCTGCTCTGCTCTGCTCTGCTCTGCTCTGCTCTGCTCTGCTCGGCTATGCTATGCTATGCTATGCTATGCTATGCTATGCTATGCTATGCTATGCTATGCTATGCTATGCTGCGCAATGTTATGCTGGGCTAGGCTAGGCTAGGCTAGGCTAGGCTAGGCTATGCTATGCTGCGCTATGCTATGCTGCGCTATGCTATGCTATGCTATGCTATGCTATGCTATGCTATGCTATGCTATGCATGGGGCCCCACATGCAAGAATCGATACATCGGGGTTCACGCCCACAGTAGACGACATAACAGTGACCCTCACAATAAGCGCACCGGCAAAAGAAGTTCTTCAGCATACGCATAGTCGAATATGCCGGGGTGTTCCGGTAAGCGCCCGAGGTTGCTTCCATCTCCCTGGTGGCGCCGCGGCGCCAGTTCCCCGGCCGAGCCAAGGTGGCCCCGTGTTCAAGGCGGCCCAAAGTGGGCGCTTCGTGGGAGGTCTCGGCCATGGTGGCCACCGATGCTCCTTCCCCGCAGCCATTTGGGTTCAAGGCCTAAGGCACACATCTGCCTAAGTTACTCTCGAAACTGCGCTTCTCAGTTGCCTACCATGGCTTCTTCAGCCTCGCGCCCGGAATCTCAACGTCAATTTCACGGCTGCAGCCGCTGAGGGGAAGCGTGAGCCGTCCACACCCCCGAACAGTAGCGGGCATAGTGGTGGCATCAGGTGTCCCAAGCCTGCGGCATTTTTTATGATGAATGGCGGTTCACCATTTTTTCAAGAGAATGCAATGTGTCAGTGTCTTCTGGACCTCGTCATCCCCTCGTCCGTCCCCTTCTCTTCGTCAGGGGTTGGACGAGTAGGAGGGAGATGTGGAGGATGAGGGGCAGGGAGAGAAGGACGGGGGAGGAGGAAGAGAGTGGTGGAGGAGGAGGGGGGAGGGGGAGAAGGGGACAGAGGGGGAAGCGGAGGAACGGCGGAGTGGGGAGAGGGTGAGGTGGGCGGAGGAGGCTGGTTGGCGGAGGAGGGTGGTTGGTGGAGGAGGGGTGGTCCTCTTCCGCTCCCCTCCCCTCACAGGCTGGCGGATGGCGCTGGGCAGGGCGAAGATGCCGACCAGGGCAACTGGGTGTTCCAGCTGACGGACAGTCGGCTGGAGGGGTGGGCGCAGCATCATCGGTGAAGACGTGCTGTCCCTTGTCCTCCTCGTCTCTGTCCTTCTCCCCAGACTTCCGATGTCATCTCTTTTTCGATGCTGGCGTCCTTCTCGATTTCGGCCAGTGGAGGTCCGTTTCGGGCCCGGGGGACTATCGCGGGCCCCGAAACGTACAGCGACCGCTCCGTTTGGTGAGTCTGTGTGGATTCGGGGTCACCGCATGGTTTTGGGACTTGGGCCGCTTTTTGAAGACGTTTCGGGCGACTGGGGCCTCCGAGTCCAAAAAACTGTCTGGTGACGGACCGTACGTTGAGGTCTCTTGGGATTTCGAGGTCACCGCACTGTCTGTCACAGATCAGTGTCGGGATCCCGAAGATCGGGGAGGACACGACGGGGCCCTTGGGGAGGGGTCAGGACCGTTAGGGAGCCCTTAATATGCGCCACTTCCACCTAATGGGGGTGCCTTCTAGAACCCCTACTATGTGGGTGTCTGGCTAGGACGCACAGAAACTGAAGTTTCCTCCCAGGACATTTTCGCATTTTCTGCTTCGCATGCATGTGATTCCAGGACGGGGGGCCGAAGGGGCCGCACAAGCCACTCTAACATCGCGCATGGAAGGCTATGTTTTCTGTTGCGAGCATCTTTGAATCCGTTCAAGTATGTGTCATTTTTCATATGTCGAGTTCTCCGAATCCCCCCCCCCCTCCCTCTCCCCATCCTCGTCCGCCTCTCCATCTTCCCTATCCCTCCTCATGATCCCTTTTTGTCTGTTAGAATTCCATCATGACTCACGCACATGTATTCCCCCTGCTCCTCGCTGTTTGTCTCCTCCTCTTCGCGTCTCTTCCTCTTCTCCCTTTTTCCTCCTCTGCCCATTTTGGCGCTCTCTTGGGCTCACGGATGCTTCCACCTCCTCATTTTCCTCCTCGTCCTCCTCCTCCTCCTCCTCCTCCTCCCTCTGGGCGTCGTTAGGTGGCGATGGTCTCGTGCCTCATGACCTTTTCCCTCTCCCTCGGGCCCCTTGTCGGCGTCGTCTTCGTCGTCGTCAGTCGTCGTCGTGCCAGAGCGCGTGGCGTTCGGCGTTCGACTCGAGGCTGAGGCGTAGCGTCGGGTCGCGTCGCGTCGGGCCGGGTCGCGCGAGGCGGGGCACGGGCGTCGGGCGGGGCGTCGAGTGTGGCGTCGGGTCGAGTGTCTGCGTCGGGCGTTGCGTCGAGTCAGCCAGCCTGCGTCGAACTCTCTCTGGCGCCGTCGTCGTTGGGCGGGCGCGCGGGACTGCGTCCGCCGCCGTCGTCCTCGACCCGTGCTGCCGAGCCGCCGCTGTCATGCGAACCCGACACAAATCCATAATTATGAGGGAGAGGAGGGTGAGAACGAAACGGGGGCAGAGGAGGTTGATGTTGACGACCAGTAAGGAAAATCCGACTCTGCCTAGCTTTACCATCCTCAGAGAGCGGTGGCAGGCGGTTGCAGGAGAAGATGAAGAACGAAAAGAGGAGGGCAAGGAGAAGAAGGAGGACGTGGAGGGAGGAGGAGGAGGAGGAGAAGGAAAACGGAGGCGGAGGAGGAGAACGACGACGCCGTTGGCCCCAGGCCAACGATTGGGCCGCTTTCCGAGGGTCGAGCCGTTCGGCCCCGAAGGCGCCTGGCGCCAGCCGCTCACGCTCCCAAGCCCGGCCACTAACGCCCCCAAGCCCGGCCACTAACGCCCCCGAGCCCGGCCACTAACGCCCCCCAGCCCGGCCACTAACGCCCCCCAGCCCGGCCACTAACGCCCCCCAGCCTGGCCACTAACGCCCCCCAGCCCGGCCACTAACGCCCCCCAGCCCGGCCACTAACGCTACCTATGTCCCTAGCCAGGAGGTGCCAGCGACCTGATCCAGCACCTCTTTGCACCCCAACCGGCCACTAATCCGGCCACTAACCGGCCACTAACCGGCCACTAACCGGCCACTAACCGGCCACTAACCGGCCATTAACCGGCCACTAACTGACCACTAACCTCCCCGTTCCCTCCTCCTCCTCCGCGCCCTCGTCGTCGCCCTCCTCTCTCGCCTCTCCTCCCTTTCTCCATCCCTCTCTTCCCGCTCGTGTTCTTCCCCACCCCTCTGCCCCCCCTCCCCCCCCCCTCTCCCTCCTCCGCGCCCATCGTTGTCATCCTCCTCTTACCTCCTCCTCGTCGCCCTCCTCCTCCTCCTCCTTCTCCTCCTACCCGTCCTCCTCGCCCTCCGCGCGACTGCACCGATGCAACGCGCAAGTTTGGGGGCCGCCGGGATCAAACTTCGTTTCCCCCTCCTCCTTGTCCCCCTCCGACCTCCTCCCCACTTGCCCGTGCCGGCGCCCTCTCGACCATTTCAAGCTAGTCGAGCAGGAACTCCTAGCGGCGTGCCTCCGAGCGCGCCCTACCGCCGTTGCCGCTGCTGCTGCCGCCGCCCTGCCGCTGCCGAGGGTCGGGGTCGTCAGTGCCCGGCGGGGCTCGGAGCGCCATGGCGGCGGCGGCGTCTGGGCGCGGCTGCGGGTCGAGCGTCGGGGTCGGCGTCGGGCGGGGCGTCGGGTAATTCGCCAGCTGCGTCGCGGGCGTCGGGTTGCGTCGCCGTCGTTTGGCGCGTTGCGCGTGTCGCGTTGCTTCGGGCGGTTGGGGGTGGGCGTGGGTAGCGGGCTACGTCGGGTAGTAATATGTTGCTTACGGTATCTTTATGTATATGCATACATAGTCAACTATGATGATGTTGTGGTATGGTAGCTGTCATGCAGTGCTATGATTTGGATTTGCACGTGGCTGCATGGGCTGGGGGGGGGGGGGGGGGGAGAACAGGGGGAGGGGGGGGGGGGGGCGAAGGGCGATGGGGGGGATAATCGAAGGAAGGCAACGGAAACGAGAGGGGGAGACGAGGGAAGAAGAGGCCGAGGGTCCGCTCCTGCCCGCCAAGAGGCGGTGAGTTGTCCTAAATCGAAAATATGAAAAATCTGGACCAGATCTTCCGACACAGGAGAACGCAGACGTGACGCAAAATAGTGAAACGATTTGTGGGCAAGGCAGATAAGGCTCATAAAAGGGCCGATGGTGACGAAGGGGGGCGACGACGAGGAAGGATAGGAGTCCGACAAGGAACGGACGGAGGGAAAAGGAGACCGTCACTACGTCTATGACGATGCGGGGTCCTGGATCTCCTCGTAGAATCAGAGGAACCCATTCAGATAACTCTCCCTAGTAAAGAGTCAGTTCTAGAGGAGGTGCCAGCGGCGCAGGACAAGGGAGCCCGTACTGACAATATCACGACGTTGGAAGTCCTCCTCCTCCTCCTCCTCCTCCTCCGTCTTCCTCGTCGTCTCCGTCCTACTCGTCGTCTCTTCTGTCGTTCTCTCCAGCCTCCTCGCCCGCACGTTCTCATTGAAGAGGTGCTGCTCCTCAGAGCTGATGGACAGCAGAGTGGTGGGGCAGCGCCTCCTCGGTGAGAGCGTGCAGTTCTTCTCTTGCAGCCGGCCACGACAGCGGAGGACGAGGCGGACGAGGAACAGTGTCGCGGAGGAGGCGGATGACGAGGCGGGGGAGGAGGAGGCGTCGGAGGAGAGGGCAGCGAAGGAGGAGAAGGGGGAGGAGGGGGAGGAGGAGGTTCAGTCTGAGAAGGGGGGGAGTTGGAGGAGGGGCAGGAGGAGAAGTAGGATGAGGAGGAGGAGGAACAGGTTCAGGCGGAGGGGGATGATGCTCATGCTGATGCTGCTATTGATGCTGCTGGTGCTGCTGCTGATGATGCTGATGATGCTGCTGCTGCTGATGATGATGATAGCGGTGGTTGTGGTGGTGATGCTGCTGCTCATGATGATGATGATGATGGTGGTGGTGGTGGTGGTGGTGCTGCTGCTGCTGATGGTGATGCTGATGATGGGAAACATGATCATGCTGACGATGCTGCTGCTTCTGATGGCG